ATATATATATAGATATATATATAGATATATATATAGATATAGATATATATATATATAAAAATAAGTTTTTTTTTGTTTGTTTTATTTTCCCAATTTGGTTTTCGTGTAATTTGGCACGCCTCAGCCTTTTCACCATATTTCTATTCCGTATGAAAGGCTTCTTGACAGCCACCCTTCCACTGAGACCATTTCTAATGAGGCTTCAGTGAACAGTTGGTGACTCAACTAAAGGACCAATTTCATTTCTTTCTTTCTCAGGATACACTGCTCACTATGCCGAAATATTCCAAGTTTTTACCTAATGGCTGTTGGGAATCACCATGTTGGTGCAAACACACTATTTTATGCCTGTCAAACTGTGTGAACATTGGATTTTTTTTTTTTTTTCATGGATTCGACTAGGGCTGTGCGATATGACCAAAATCTCATATCCGGATATAAGAATTCTATCGTCCCGATAACGATATGTAACATTTTCTGTAAATTCTGTGAATCTCGTGCAGCTTGACTTGCGGGAAGTGTTAACAGCTGCGCGTCATGTAGCTGGAGTCGAGTGTTTTAACAGAAGCATGAAACGATACATTTTTTAGCCATAAGTTGTAACAGCCGCCGTTTTCTTTGTGAGTATTTATTACACGGCGTGCTGCGGGGAAAAGCCTGTTCTAACGTTTGAGTCTAAGGTTTATTTTTTTAGCACCTGGCGGCTCTTTTTTTTACTTCTCATCCGTCAATAATCTGCTCTTTCACGTGATTCAGTTTATTTTGAAAATTCTCAACAGGATCTTGAGCTTTATTGTGAAAGGTTTGTGTGGAACATAAACAAGCGGACACGCGATGGTGTTACCGTCATTGTTGCTAACCATAAAGCATAAAAACAGGCGCTTGTCCGTCTGTAGTGTGGTTATATTAAATATAAGAGAAAGAGAGAACTTTAAGAAATTAATATAGCCACTACAGTGACCATCAAAACGATGAAAAAAAATATTGCTGTAAACAGTTTATTTTGTGACACCACGAAATAAACAATAGCATAAAATGAAACAATAGACGTTTTGTCATCCGATATATATCGTTATATCGAACAGCCCTAGATTCGACTAAAACGAGAACAAATTGTGTATTTTTGGGACAGGCTGCCAGTAAAAATGTTTAACCAATTTTAAAATGTATAATTTAAAATTGGTTATTTGCTAAGTTGTCTGTTTTCTGAAGGCATGTCATTGGTTCGTCACTTGATTTAAGTGCCTTTGATATGCTTGAATTATACATATATCAGTTTTATTATAAACATCTACAGTACAGTGTGAATACAAAGCTGCAAGCTAGTTATCCTCACCAAAGCCCAAATACATGTCTTCAAATGATAGTTTAAACATTAAGATACATGAAAAACTGGAGTTTTATCTAGTAACTGTCACTGTTTTTTGTTTGCTTTGTTTCTATCATTTATTTATTTTTTGCCATTTTTTTTAATGACAGTATTTACTGTACTTAAAAACATTTTGACTGTGTAAACACTTCTGTTATGCAGTCCTGTGGAAAACTGAGTACACCATTTGATCCAGTAGCTTGTAGATCCAAGATTCCACCACAGAATTTCAATCAGGTTGAGGTCTTAACTTTGAGCTGTTGCCTCAGCTTGATTGTTGTCATTCTTAGCTGTTCTGTTGTGGATTTGCTGCTGTGCTTGGGGTCATTGTCTTGCTGCATGAACCAATTTGGGCCAGGCTTTATCTGTCAGACAGATGGCCTTACATTTGAATCTAGAATACTTTGATACACAGAGGGGAATGGCTTGTCCATGTCTGTTTTCATAAACAAATGCGAAACGTTAATGACTTAAGCTTAACTATTTGGTGTGCAACAGTTTGGCCTGTTTTTGTTTTTTGTTTTGTTTTGGTTTTTTTTAAAAAAGGATAGTTAAATATGATTTTCTGTCACACCCCAGTGTAAGTAATGATCTGATCATGGCCACACTTGTGCAAACTGTCTGGTTATGCCGCCGGACGCTGGCCTTTTGAGGTGGCAGTTTTTTCAGACTTACATGTGCTGCTGAGTTTATTAATTTTGTATATTAAAATACTCTGCTGGTATTTACAGTATCTGTGGGCGCAGCGAGATAAAGCTGAGCAGGTGTCTTGTCAAAGTTACGCAGTAGTGTTGGCTGTGGGCAGTCAGCGGGACACATGGCAGAGGAAGGCAACAAGCTGACACTGAGGCGCCTGGAGGCACCGATCCACAAGTTCATTAAAGTGGCTCTGCCCACAGACCTGGAGAGACTGCAGAAACACCATAACAACATACTGAAGGTGACGGCTCAAATCTGGCTGCACACAGGATCACAACCTCACTTTCAAACTCTTACTTCCAGCCTTCAGATAAATAACTCCTAGTTTCTTTCACAGTACCAGCATACCCAGCAATGGGATCGCCTTCATCAGGAGCATATTAATGCCAGCAGAACTGTTCAGGTATGAAGTGATAACCTGTGAAGTAAATAGAAAAGCAGAGGCGTGTTTGTGTGTATGTGTTTTAGTGAATGTGACAATTGTTTAGAGGATGACATGACTCACCGCCTATTGAAATTCCTGAACAAGCATGACTCTGCGTATTATATTTTTTGTCTCCAAAATGTGCACCCCATGACCTCTTTAAATATCGGATCTTGATGTTTCTGATCTGTGCCTGTCATGTTGTTCCAGTTTGAAGATCGAAGTAAAGACAGAGTAAAAGGGCAGCAACCAGTATCTTTATCCAGTGTTTAAACAGACAGCATTTGTTGTGACGTCTGAATGAAGGAGAAATGTGTCAGTCATCGTTACCAAGCCTGTTTGAAATGATCTGTGACTCAAACAGATGCCTTTTGAAGCGTGCCAGTATATTAAAACGAATACTGATTTGTGTGGAATAAGAGTCACTGAGCAACAGAAAAACAGCAGCTTCGCAGAGACAAGTACTCAACATAAGGTCCAGCTACTTTCAGGCACACCTTTTGCTCTTCCTCAGCAGATAGTGTTGATGGAGTATTGTTATAACTCTGCTGGGCGGGCTGGCTGGCAGGCAGGCAGGCAACACAGACACCCAAGTTTGTGAATGTGATAACTCGAGAGCGAAGCAATGTAGGACTTTTAAATTGATACCGTAGGTATCGATAAATCCCAGATGACTTTGAATCTCGGTGACCTTGATCTGAAGGTTGAAGGTGAGAGGTCAAGTTTTCTGAAAGTCTTGTGAATGCAATACCTTGAGAACGAGGGGACGTGGGGTTTTGGAATTCATACCTTCAGTGTACTAGGAGGCTGAGGGGTACCACTGGCCACTGCCAGTATTTTTTTATTTATTTATTGTTTTACAGTTGTGATGGAGGTGATTTGACAGTGAAGTATCCAACAGCAGAAACCACTTTTGAGACTGAAGTCTCCCTCTCTATGTCACCAGCTACCCTGCATGATGTTGATGACAAGAAAATTGCCTCCTGTTGAGCAAATCAATAGCAACGAAATCTGTTCAGCTGGAATTAACAGCATGTGTACATATACACAAACACATACTTTTGGAAACAGCGTTATCTATATAAATTTACTAAATCAGGACAAGAAAAGAGCTGCTGCTAAACCTAGAATCCATCTTTTTTGTGTTGTGTCCGCATGTGTGTGAACTTGTTCACATAGTGAGTGTGAAATGCCTCAGGGGATGTTGTTGCCTAGAAGCCACCATGTCTCTGAAGGTGAAATAACTCCAAACAGGCACACATCTATCCTCTCACCATTACCCGGCGAACCCTCAGGGGTCCACACAGAGTGCTTTCCCATGTCTTCATGGTGTAAATCCAGAGTAGGAGTTTGTCTGCCCTGCTTTAGATGTTTGTCTGTGTGCTTAATGTTCAAACATAGGAAAATAGGTTGGTTTATGTCATTCAGAGTTCCTATTTTGATCATTGGCACTGCATGCTTATGTTGATTTATTTTATCTGTTTGGAAAAAAGCCTGTTTTCCCACCCATCACCATAACATACTCTCCAGCTAGCCTAGCACCAAGCTAACTCCCAAGAGAAGATTGCAGACAGACCTCAGTAGCCCCACTTTTGCCACACGAGCTACTGCAAACACTTTAACACAGGAGAGCAGAGTCTGTACTGTTTTTATTTGCGGCATTTGTGTTTGAACTACATACAGTCACAGTTAATTTGCAGGCTAAAAGGCACATGACCTTTAGTGTGTTGGGGTTTTTTGGTGTTTTTTTTGGTTTTTGGGTTTTTTTTGCTTCTGTGAACAAGGATATGCATATGCATATTCATGTCATGTAATTAGCAGAATGTGTTATTGGCACATCTCTGACAACAAGACAAAACGACAAAAACCTGTGAACCCAGGTCATGCTGCTGCCTGCAGGGATGATCGCTGCGATGTTCCTCAGCCTCATATCTAAAGCTTGCACCACTCTTCTTTTATATTCTGCTAGGAAAAAACCCCCAATATGGGTGCAACAATGTATTGAAATACATGAAAGCGTACATAGAAATACAGAATCTGAGGCATATCAGAGTTTGTACAGTTCTAACAAGCTTGAACGTTAATACTTTGTATGACAACCTTTATTCTTCAACATAGCCTGAACTCTCTTAGCCAGATTTCTTCTCATTCAAAGCTCTTCTTTGGGTGTTGTCTGCCTTTTCTTCCATTCTCTGTCAAGGTGATCCCACACTGCTCCAATAAGGTTGAGGTGCGGGTTCTGGGGAGGCCAGTCCGTGACTGATAGTGATGGGATGTTTGCTTTTCTATCCAATTAAATTAACAGACAACTTAGTTAATTTATGTGTAAACACAACACTAGTTAATCTCTTGAGTTTGGGGCCTTGCTATGCTTGAATTACTCGGTGGTCAGTGCTAAGTGGTTTAAGAAACAAACATTTAATTCAGTTTTATTTATATAGCGCCAAATCACAACTACAGTTGCCTCAAGGTGCTTTTTATTGCAAGGTAGACCCTACAATAATACATAAAGTGAAAAACCCAACAATCATATGACGTTCCTATGAGCAAGCACTTTGGTGACAGTGGGAAGGAAAAACTCCCTTTTAACAGGAAGAAACCTCCAGCAGAACCAGGCTCAGGGAGGGGCGGCCATCTGCCGCGACTGGTTGGGATGAGGGAGGAAGACGGGATAAAGGACATGCTGTGGAAGAGAGACAGAGATTAATAACAAATATGATTCAATGCAGAGAGGTCTATTAACACACTGAGTGGTAATCAGTGATAATCGACAGGTACAAGAACACGACTGAAACGGAGTAAAATCAGTCCAAAGACAAAAATTAAATTAAAATTAAAAAATAACAGGACAGTCTGATTGCTTGGAAGTAAAATATGAAGGCTCAAAACCTTTGCATAATACTCTAGTTCGCATCATTTTGGCAATACAACACAGTGTGTGTGTGTGTGTGTGTGTGTGTGTGTGTGTGTGTGTGTGTGTGTGTGTGTGTGTGTGTGTCATTTAGCCAATTGCTAAATGAACAACAACTTGTGTTTTCTCTTGAATTCAACTGATGTTATGTGTAAAGTAAAAATCATTTTGTTTCCTATTGTGTGAACGGTTTATATGTTTTTGGGCAGAATTGGTTTCAGTGATGGAATATATGATTGTTTTAGCTGTGAGTTGAATATAGTGAACTGTAAGGCACCTGCTCAAAGCACCAAAGTGGAAAAAAAAAAAAGTTTAAAAATCTCATCAGAAGCATGTTTCTTCACAGAAATCATTGAATTCAATTCATTTTTAATTGTATAATGTCAACTCACAACAACGGTTGCTTCAAGGCGCTTTATATTGTAAGGTAAAGACCCTACGATAATACAGAGAACTAACATATGACCCCCTATGAGCAGGTGCTGTGGCGACAGAGGGATGGCTCAGGCAGGGGCAGCCAGCTGTTGCCACTGGTTCGGGATAAGGGGAGGGGGACAGGACAAAGTAACCATAGTGGTGTGTAAACGCATAATGAGTGAAAAATGTGCGTCAACAAGAAACATTAATCGTGGGAAGCCCCCATCAATGTAATTAAGAGAGGATTCAGGGTCACATGATCCAGCCCTAACTATATGCTGTATCATCTTAAAAGTAGAGAGTTTGTCTGTCTCCCAAATCCAAACTGGAAGCTGGTTTCACAGAAAGGGGGCCTGGAAACTGAAGGCTCTGCCCCCCCCCCCCTTAAATATTCTGGGAACCACAAGTAAACCTGCAGTCAGAGCAAAGTGCTCTTTTTGGGTGATATAAATCATGACCTGGTTGCTCAGAAAACTTAACATTGTGACCAAGAACCATTTTAATTGTTACTGAACTACACCCTGCAGACGTATCACAGTGCATCTACTGATGATGACGTGCTTGTGCTCTTGACAGGGTGACAGGATTTAATGTAAACGTTAAGGACTCCCCATCGGCTGAGCTATAATGTCAGGTAGCTGTGAGCTTCCTTTAGCTGGCGGATGTAGACAGCAGAAAGAAAGTAGTTTTTTTTTTGTTTTTTTTGTTTTTTTTTAAATGTCACCCGATCATGTTTTGTGCTTTGAACACAGAGTGAATGCCATCTAGTTCCATTAAATGAGGGAAGAAAGAAATTTCACAACTCTCATCCAAACAGTCTTTACAACTGGAGTGTCTGCATGCCAGAGGGAAAATGTATGTTTGATATTGAGATGATTTGAGATGTTACTATTTCCATACAGATTGGAGATTTTGGATTTGTTATGCCACGTCTGCCTCGTCACATTTTCTATTTTTTATTTTTTTTCTTGCATGTTTTGTTTTGGCAGTGACGGCTGTATTTAACCACAGGTTTGCTTGTCCTTCTGGCCGTCCAAGTGTCCCTTCTCCCTCACATTCATACCACTCACTGTCATTCAAACTGAAAAATGTTCTCTTCTTCTGCGCCTCTGCAGCAGCTGAGAGCCAACATGAGAGAGATGGAGAAGCTGTGCACTCGGGTCCGTGCTGAAGACGCCGACGCTCTGGAAGCGCTCATCAAGCCGGTCAGAGACAGGGCGTCAGCCGCTGCACAGGACTTCCTCCGTTTGCACTCTAACCCCGAGCCTCAGCCCGCTCCAGCGTCACCACCTGCCACTCATTCATCCAGCTGTGCATCCAGTAGCTGCCACACTGATGACAATACGGGCGACGTACCAGGATTTGGCAGGCAAAGCCAGGTCCAGCTCCCAGAAATCCCTCCTGATCAGAGAGCAGCTGAGTCCTGGGATAACCTGGAAGAGGTATGCACGTCTGGAACAAGCTTTAGTCTGCAAGTCATAGTCGGATATGTTCTAATTGTTAGGTAAGCTGTATGTACGGTATCTATTTATCATGTCCTTGGGAATATTCACAAATGTCGAGCTTTAAGCCTGTGTGCTGATTATAAATAAAAAATCATTTGTCCGTTATGGTGGGGTGTTATTATCCTACAAGTTTTGACTTATTTCTTTGCTGTGATCTCATAGCAAACAAAGAAGTCGATTTATTGTTTCAGGCATGCAATTTCAATCTCTCTTTTTTTTCTTCTTCTTTTTAGGCCTAATAGGATAATAGCAAACCAACAAAACTATGCCTTACATTTGTTGCTGTATCCACAGTCGCTGCTATTGACTGGGTGGTGTTCTGTGGTCCTTTTTAGTGTGCTGATAGAGAAGCATAGGGTGAGGGGTTTCTCGTATGCATGAACTCTCACCTGGAAAAAGACTTTAAAAGCAACACAGCGGGCGTTTTTTTTCACAGGCGACATGTCATAGTTATCAGCATGGTACGAGAACCCTGAAACTCACACAGCTAAATTTAAATTCATGATTTATTTCACATGTATGCCATGATATCTGTTCCTGCAGACACATTTAGATCTATAGCACATCCTAATTAGTCACTCTCGTTAATGCAGTTATGAATCCCATTCACTGACAGTCTGGACACTTTGTAGCTGTAGATTTGTACGATAAGCACCTCAAACAAATCAATACAGCATTTTAATTTTTTTTTTCTTCCCCCTTTCAGGATCTGAAGGAGCTGAGCGGTTTGGTGACAGAGTTTTCTATCCTCGTCCATGTGAGTACAAACGCTCAGCTCTGCATTTCTTTGTCTACATGTGTGCACAGTCACCCCTGTGAACAAAAACAATGTGATAGAGGTCTGTGCACCTCCAGGAGGTGGGTGGTGTGTATTTGACCTGTGTGCGCGTGCTCGCTTGCGTTGCTTGGTAAGGCCCCACTGAGACAAGCTTACACAGAGCAGCTCCGGAGTAGTGCTGGGGCCCCAGAGGCCCTTCAGCAGAGGAGAGATTCAGAAGTAGATGAGTGAGAGTGAAGCAGGGAGAAGGGGGGCAGGTTTTCACAGGGGGAGGAGAGAGGAGGGGAAACAAGGGATACATCGGAGCAGGTGGAGAACAGACGGCTCAGATTATCAGTCTTATCCTTAGGGATGGAGGGAGGCTGAGTGAAGGAGAGATTAACAGTGAAGAGGAGGGCGGGTAAAGATGTAGCTAGGCTGAAAAAACACAAAGAGGCACGGGGAGGGGGTGTGGCAGAAAGAGCATAGACATGTTGTGGTGTCTCAAGGGTGAAAGGAGCCGTTAGGGGAGTAATATTCCAGCACTCAGCCACAGTGGAAATACTGAGTGAGTGTGAGTGTGTGGTTGTGTCTGTACATGCGTCATGTTTGTGTCTGTTCCGATGTTGGGGCGCCTTCAGGCTTATCTGTATGTTTCTGTGTCTGTACTGAGGCAGAAACACAGCATGAAATTAATTCCCATTACAGTATTATAATAATAGAGCTGTCTGATTGTTTTGGAATTACTGGTGTTAAATGTTATAAACTAACAGCTACGAGGATCTTTTAAACATTCACCAAAACTCATGAACACAGTCAGAACATGGTTAACGTCAAATAACTGTTCTAGTCAAGATTCTTTCTTTTGTGAGTGCTGTTATTATATCTGGTTATATTAGGATATTTTTCTTTTAAAACAAAAGTGAACAGTGGGTCATGATCACTTTTAATGGGAGAGTTACATTAACAGTTTTGGACTTGGGCACTTTTGGTGGAGCTAAAAAAGGAGCTAAAGCTTTTTTTCCCCACTTTTTTCTGACATTTTACTGGTTAAATTATTAGTAAAAGCCAAATCTGCAAATTTTTGATTAATCAGAGTAATTATAATAATTGGTTGTTGCCGCTCATTTTATCCCAATTCTCTGTGCCACTGCAGCTTTTAAGCTGGAAAGAAGAATGGTGCAGAAAATGAAAATGTGAAAAATCTAACACACGATCTCTAAGTCTAGGGTTACAGGTTTAAAATCTCCGAAAACCATCACAAAATAACAGGAAGCTTTCACGCGGGTATTCATAAGAGAAGCGGATTTTTAGTTCGCGAGAATGAAAGAAAGAGAAAGAAAGAAACCGTTTTGAGGAAGAAAAATGCTCCGGTTGTTATTTGGTCACTGTGTCCATCCAACCCTCACATGGAGAGAGACAGCTGCCACTCTGAATATTTCATGAGATCTACACAATGCCACACACACACACGCACACACCATATGACCCCCACCCTCACTGAAATCTCCCTTGAATATACCTGCAGCCTCCAAACACACCCCTCTGTTGTTAACTTGTCCTGCGGAGCAGAATTTGGATGGGTAAAAAAATATCTGCACAACAATTGTGCTTACACGTGTGTCTGTGTGCGCGTGTTTGTAAGTGAATCTGCTTGCTAGCATATGAGTGTGTGTTAATACGTGTTGTGTGTGTCTAACCCCTGCGCATCAGTCCCAGCAGGAGAAGATTGACAGCATAGAGGACAACGTCAACACAGCCGCTGCCAACGTGGAGGAGGGGACCAAGAGCCTGGGGAAGGTGTGTATTAATGTGTGTGTGCTGATAATCTGATGTGTGTGCATGTGTTTGGGAGATGGGGAGATCGATGGCACTTTGCCTCCCAGCCATTCCACAGCGTTTGTCCCTATTGATCTGTTCGAATACGGAGGAAAGCTGCAATTAAGGAAATAGAGAGAGGAGAGGGATGGAGAGAGGCGGGATAAGAGGGGCGACAAGAGACAAGAAGAGAAGTTTGCTTGTATGTTTGCACGTGTGTGTGTGTGTGTGTGTGTGTGTGTGTGTGTGTGTGTGTGTGTGTGTGTGTGTGTG